TTGCGGGGGTCCTAACCTCTCCTCTGCCACCTTGTGGACGTATTGGGAATTGTATCCTGAGAGGCAAAACCGGACAAGCTCTTTTGAGTCAGCTCACCTAGCTCCATACCTGCGTGGTCCTTTCCACCTGAGCATCCCAGGGTGTGATACAGGCACTCACTCTCCAGCGTCACCCCTCCAGTCCACTAGAGAGTACGTGTTAACTTGGAGTTTACAACCCAGTGGAGGAGACAGCCATTAAAAGGCAAATAACTAACAGATTCAATGTAATCCACATCAAAGTTTCAATACAATTTTTCACATATAAAAAAAGGCAAATAACTAAATATGATATAAATAAATTATGGGACAGAAATGGGTGTAGGGGGAAGGGGAATTTTACTAAGAAGGCTAAGAAGGACAGGGTTACCCAGATGGGAGAAGTTTCTAGTTGACATCTGAAAGATGAGAAGGAGGTGTCACAAAAAAAAAAAAAAAAAAAAAAGCGCATGCAGAGGTCCTGAGGTAGGAAAGAGTTTGTTTAGCTGAAAGTGAGTGAGTGGGGAGGACTGGGGGGGAGGGAGGGCTGGTAGGAGCGGGATTGGAAAGAGCTATATGCATAGAGCTCAGGGTCCCACACAGCCCAAGCTGGACTTGAATTATCTATGTAGCTGAGGAGGGCCTTGAGCTTGGGACCCTCCTGCCTCCCCCTCCTGAGTGTTAAGATTTCAGACTTGTGTTACCAAACCCAAGGCTTTGTGCCTGTGCTTAGCAAGGGTCTGACACGTGAGCCACATCCTCAGCCAAAAAGTTCCTTCTATTTATTGTATCTGTTTGTTTGTTTGAATGAGGGCCTTACAGAGTATCTAAGGCCAACCTGGAAATAGTGAACCTCCTTCTCCAGTCTCCTGAGTGCGGGGATTACAGCTGTGTGCCTAGTCCTGGTTTATATGATTTTTTGTATTTTACCCCCCCTGTGTATAGGGTTTCTCTGTGTAGCCCTACTGTCCTGAAACTCCCGCTTTAGACAAGGTTGGCCTTGAACTCAGAGATTCATCCCCCTGCCGCAGCCTTCCAAGTGCTGAGATTAAAGAAGTGTGGTACCACTGCTGTACCTTGTCATTATGGTTTTGTGTGTGTGTGTGTTTTCGAGCTATGGTTTCTCTGTGTAACAGTCCTGCCTGTCCTGGCATCTGCTTTGTAGACCAGGTTGGCCTCGAACTCACAGAGATCCGCCTGCCTCTGCCTCCTGAGTGCTGGGATTAAAGGTGTGTGCCACCACTGCCTGGCCCCCATTATGTTTTTTTATTGGACAGAAATGACTAGATTAGAGAAATGCTTTCAGAGTGAATGTATACTGAGCATTTTAGAATTTTCTAACTAGGTATAGTTTATTTTTCTAATTGATGGAAGAAGTTTACTTGATAGAATAAAACAAGTGTTCTACCCAACCACAAAGAGCAGAAGAAATGGAAAAAAATGAGTATGGCAAAAAAAAAAAAAAAAAAAAAAAAAAACCCAAAAACAACAACAACAAAAAAAACAAAACCAGAATGCCTAAATATTTTATTACATTTATTTATTTTCTTATGTGTTTCTGTAGAGACATGCACTGGGCACAAGGATGCTCTGGCACTCGTGTGAAGGTCAGAACTTCAGTTTTTTTTTTTTCACCCTGTACATTCTGGGGATTGGATTTAGGTTGTTAGGCTTAGTATCTGTTTTACTAGCCTGACCCCCCCCACCTCTTATACCCCCAAAGAAAAACAAAAAAACAACCTCAAAATACTTAATGCGACAATATGCATATTCCTAAAACAATCATTTAAAATTCCTCTGTTCTCTTTTTGAAACTTGTTTTGATGTATTTATTTCTATTTTATGAGTATGGGTGTTTTGCTTGAGTCCATGCAGTGCCCATAAAGACTATCATCTCCTCTGAAACTGGAGTTACAGGTACAGTTGTAATGAGCAACTGGATGTGGTGTTGCACGCCTTTTAACCCAGCATGCAGGGAGCAGAGACAGACGGATCTCTGTGAGTTCAGGTCCAGCCTGGTCTACAGAGTGAGTTTCAAGGACAGCCGGGGCTAGACAGAGAGACCCTGTTTCAAAGAGGGGGAAGGAGAGAGAAGAGCTCGTGAGGCATCTTTTCCTGTTTGCAGACTGCTCAAAATACCAACCCAGTGGCAGGATATTTCAGTTTAGAAAACTTGTTTATTTTTCATTTCCTTTTGAGGGCATTTCGGTTTAATATCAGTTACCCAGCATTAGCATAACCTCCGACAACTGCGGGTCAAGTTCTGTTTTCTTTGGAGCCGGCAGGCAAAATGACAACGGGACAGCGGGTCATTATTCTGGATGGAGAGCTTTTTTTACGAAGAAAGGCCACGTCCCTTTCCAGCTCAAATTTATTATGCATCTAACGATTTCTTCACGTGATATTTATTGACGAATTTCAGAGAACTTCAGCAGTGTGTTGGCGTCTCCCCCTCTTCTGTTGAGACAGGGTCGCTGAGATTCAGGCTCGCACTGAACTTCCTGTGTGGTGGAGAGGACCTCGAACTCTCCCCCGTCCTCCTCTTGCTACCCAGCAGGAACCGGGATTCCTACAGTGTGCCGCCACACCCAGCAGGTTTCCTGTCTTTAGGAAAATAACCTATAGTCTGGTGAAGGCTGCTATGGCCTTCCTGGCATTTCCCCCAGCCCTGTGCGGGAAGAAGTGGGCTATGGGGTGTGTTAGTCAGGTTTTTATCCCTGTGATAGGCTATCTGCGGGGATCAAATTCTTAAAGACAAAAAAGTTTTTTCAAAAAAAATTATTTACTGTTTTTGAGATTATAATGCCATTATATTTCCCTCTTCTTTTTTTTCCCCCTCCAAACTCTCCTGTGTACACTCTCGCCTTGCTCTCTTTCCAATTCATGGCTTCTTTCCCTTAATTTTTTTTTTTAGGTTTATTTTATTATATTTTGAAAGTTTTACCCGAATGCAGGCTTGTGTACCACGTGTGCGCTGGACTGGAGTTATGAATGTGGGTTCCGGGAACTGAATTCTAGGTCCCTGCCAAGAACAGCAGGTGTTCTTCATTACCGATGTTGTCCCAGCCCTGAGGAAAGGTTTCTTTTGTTTCACTCTTTAGAGCAGTTATCCTCAACCTGTGAGCAGTGGCCTCTTTGAGGGTCGAACGACTCCTTCACAGGGGTCGCATATCAGATATTTACATTACGATTCATAACAGTAGCAAAGTTACAGTTATGAAGTAGCAACGGAATAACTTTATGGTTGGGGGTCCCCACAACAGGAACTGTATTAACAGGTCTCAGCAGTAGGAAGGCTGAGCACATTAGAAAGATTTAGGCCTGTGGTGAGGCAGCACGTAGTGGCAAGAGCACAGAGTGGACCAGAATAGGTCATGTGATCCAGGAGCAAAAGAGAAAGAGGAATGGAGTCAGGTCCCACAGCCCCCACCAGGACAGGTTCTCAGTGCCCTTGGAACTATCCTATGTAGGTTCCACGTTCTCCTTTGTTGTTGTTGTTTGAGACAGGGTTTCTCTGTGTGGCCCTGGTTGTCCCGGAACTCACGCCGTACACCAGGTTGGCCTTGAACTCACAGAGATCCAGATTCAAAGAGATCCACCTGTCTCTGCTTCCGGAGTGCTGGGATAAAGGTGTGTGCCACCACTGCCCAGCCTTTTTAGTTTTCTTTTTTGAGACTGAGTTTCTCTACACAGCCCTGGCTTTCCTAAAACTCCCTATGTAGACCAGGCTGGCTTTGAACTCACAGAGCTCTGCTTGCCTCTACTTCCAGAGTGATGGGATTGAAGTCATGCACCTCTGTATCTGGGCAAGGCTCCACGTCTTAAAGGCTGTTTCTCCCAGTACTGGAATTTTGGGGGCCAAGTCTTTAACACAGGGGCCTTTTTTTTGGGTAGTTGTATCTAAGCTATGGCATGGAGCACAAGGAGAACACACAACGTAAGTGTGGAGACAGACTTAAATTCTCCCCAGTATATATGTGTGAACTTGGACTCGATTTCCCTTCTCTGGATCCAAATTTCCTCAATTTTAAGAAAGAGACGGCAGACAGTGAGGGGCCACAGCTACTGCAAGTTCATACTTCTCCCCAGTGCTTCACCACACCCACATGGTGGGTTTGTTGCTTCCTTCTCCAAGAAGAGAAGAAAGAAGTTAAATGACTTACCAACTTACCTGAAGGAGCAGTGTGTGTGTGTGTGTGTGTGTGTGTGTGTGTGTGTGGGTGGGAGTGGGGTAGGGATGAGGTCAAGATTCAAAGGGTGGTCTTTTCTGGCTCCAAAGCCTGAGAGAAAATCTTTATTCCCTTTATTATGTTCCTTGCTTCTTACCTACCTCTGAAATTATCAGTGTGTGTGTGAGAGAGACATGAACTTAGATTTATGACATTTTCCCAAAATCCATTAATCAAATATGCAAATGTAAGAGATGATGCCAGCTGGTGAGATGGCTCAGTAGGTGAAGGCGCATGCTGACAAGCTTGACAGTCTTTGACAACTTGAGTTCAATCCCCAGGACCCACCCAATAGAAGGAGAGAACTGACTCCCACAAGCTGGCCCCTGACTTCCATACTTGCATGGAACCACGTGAATGCCCGTGTGCACATACATCCACACACACAACATAGCCAGATGTCAAAAAAGGGGCAAGTGCTACTCAGTGAGGCAGAAAATAATAAACCAAAGCTTTAGAGAAATATTCAGAAATATTACCAAATGCACTTCGTAGACCTGTTTACGTGAAATGGATATTCTCAAAACCACACTCAGAAGGTCACCTTACAGAGGGAGCATTTCCTGTCTCAGGATGAAAAGTCCCAGGAATTCAGAGGGAAATATTTTTACAGTCATTATTCCAAGCTCAGAGTCAGATACACTTAGCATCACGTGGCAAACCATGTTAGTGGCAGTCTACACGGCATTGGGACTGACGGGGCCTCTTTTAAGTAGGTGGAACGGGTCAGGACAGGTCCCGAGAGTTCAGTCAGGGGAGGAGAGGAACCTGGCCAGCATCATGGAGAAGCTGTTTGTGTTGGTCTTTGCTCTCACCCTGCTGGTCTTCTCCTCAGGTAGGTTCTCTCTCGAAGGACATGGCCTGTTTTTGCACGGACGTGATCATATATAGTATATATTAATAATTTGATATGCTTTCTTTTTGTAAAAGCAAGCTTCTCGAATTCCTATTATTCAGAAGGGGAGTAAATTACTTTCTTTGAAAAGACTTAAGATGTGTTTGAGTACTATTTTCAGAAATACTGGCAAGCCTTGAATTACATCTTCTTCTGAGATTCATATACAATCACGGAAAGCTTGATGTACTTTTATTATGCTAACTAATATCTTTTAATGTTTGCGTGAGGGCCCCCCCTCCCCATTAATCATTTTGCAATCATACTTTCTGAGTGGGATGTGTGAAGAACGGATTTAACACGGTCTTCTTGTCACAGACAAGATTGGGAAAGAATATGTTTTTTAAAGCCGTAGTCGGGGCTGGAGAGCTCAGTTGGCAGAGTGCTTGCTTGGCATGTGGAGAAGCCCTGAGTTTAGTGCCCATGTTAATAGGGCACCGTGGCAAACAACTGTAATTCAGTTCAAGGTCATTTCAACTAGACGTTTGAGTTCAAGGGCAGCAAGGCAAAAGGTCTTCTCTCAAAACAAATAAAAATGAGCCAAAATAAATGGCAACAACAACAACAACAAAAAACTATACATTACATCAATGCCCGCTGTAAATAAATGGACCATTGCAAGAAGTAAGTAGATTTTTAAGTCATGAAGCTTTCACTTTAAGTTAACCCTAGTAGAAACAATTTAAAATTTTCGAGTCCTCAGAAATGCCCCATCCTTTGGGACAGATTCCTCTTTGGGTTTCACCACGATTGAACTTGCAAGTTCTCCTGGAGCACTGAGACGGAGTGTAGGCTCCTGGGCCTGGGGAGCCCACAAGTCTCTTCCTGATTCTTTTCAGAGGCCTCCCCGATTGTGACAGAAAAGCAAGCCAAGCAGCTCCTGAGGTCCCGGCGACAGGACAGGCCCAGCAAACCTGGATTCCCTGACGAGCCCATGCGGGTGAGTGCTTGGCTCTGGCAATAGCGTAGCACACACTGCCTTCTGAATGGGCGTCTATTCTGGGATTAACTGAGTGCTGCTCACTGGAAGGACTGTGAGATGGGGGTTGTAGTAAGACTAAGACGTGTGTGCCCTTCACCCCTGGGGACACTGGCTCTCCTCACCGACTGTGGACACCGTACTGAAAACAGAAACAGCAGGGTCTACAGGTATGTGGTGTGTGTGCCCGGCATCCCGAGGGGCTGCTCAGCATCTCCCTCCTCTGCTCTGTTTGCTCAGCAGCTGCTCCTTTTGGCTGATACCAACCCGCTGTCTGCCTCTTGGACCCCAGGCAGACTGCACTAGCATCCTCCGCCGGCAGCGGTCACCTTGGGTGGAATCTTGGTACCAGCTGCCTCTGGTCGATGCCTTTGCTCTCAGCTCTGCTCTGGGGGTTATGGCTTCTACTTGCCTAGTCTTTCTGAACCAAGGCACCTGGGGTAGCCAATATTGGCTTTTAGCTTAACAGGACCTAGCATTGATTTCAAGACAAGCCTCTGGGTATGTCTGAGAGTTTCAAGATGGGTGACCCCATCCTAAATGTAGGCAGCAACATTCTATGGATTGGGTCTTAGACTGCATTCAAAAAGAGAGAGAAAGCTGGGCGGTAGCTTTCATTTTTTTTTAAAAAGTAATATTCTTTTATTTATTTTTATTTTTAAAGATTTATTTATTTATTATGTATACAGTATTCTGCCTTCATGTATGCCTGCAGTCCCGAAGAGAGCAAGAGATCTCATCATAGATGGTTGTGAGGCACCATGTAGCTGCTGAGAATTGAACTCAGGACCTCTGGAAGAGCAGCTAGTGGTCTTAACCACTGAGCCATCTCTCCAGCCCATTCTTTTATTTTTTTGAAATTGTAATATAATTACATCGTTCCCCACTTCCTTCTCCTCTCACCAACCCCTCATGTAATCCCCCTTCTCTCTCTCAAATTCATTGCCTCCTTTAATTTAATTGATTTACACACACACACACACACACACACCACTCCTAAATACATAAATACAACCCTTCCTCTCTCTCATCCTCCCTCCATCCCTCCCTCCCTTCCTCCTTCCTTGTTTTTTGAGACAGGGTTTCTCTGGCTCTCCTGGAAGTCACTTTGTAGACTGGTCTGGCCTTGACCTCACAGAGATCCTCCAGCCTCTGCCTCCTCAGTGCTGAGATTAGAGGTGCGCGCCACCAATGCCAGGCTCAAGTTGCATCTTATCACAGCGAGGAAAGTAATTGTATAGCCCCCTTCCCTGCCTTTATTTTGGGTGTTTAGTGCCTTCTGTGAGACCCTGCCAGGCTGGTCCAGCTCCTGTTTGGGGGTCTAATTCGACTGTTCTGACATTCATGGTATTTCTCCCTCATCCAGGTGAAGGTTTATCACAATGTACCAGCCCTGGGTGTCTGGAGGTTATTGTCTGGTGGTGTTTCTGTGGTCCTGGTTGGTCTCTTTCCTGGACCCCTCAACTGGCTATCAGCTCAGCCTCTCTGTCAGATTCTTATGTGAGGTCCACAGGAACCTGGAACCACATTTGCCTTCTCTTACTGTGGACCCAGTGCGCATATTTGATATTTAAAAGACTTTCATTGGTCTGGGAATGTAACTCAGTGGTAGAATGCTCACCTGGAATGCACAAGGCCCTAGATTTGATCTCCAGCATTAAAAGAAAAAAAAAAATTGATGGTAAATACTACTGGCTCAGGTCAGGCTAGATTCGAATCTTTCCGTTCACTTTGTGCCTTCTCTCATTCTTCCTTTGTTTTACATTTACTTATTGAGTGGTGTGTACATTCGTGTGGAGGCCGGAGGACCACCTGTGGGAGATGGGTCTCTCCTTCTGTCGTGTGGGGCCCAGGGACTGAACTCAGGTTGTCAGGGTTGGCAGCAAGCATCTTTATCCCCTGAGCCCTCTAGCTAGCCCAATCCCTATTTCCTTTCTAACTGCGTGTAGGGGAGGTTCCCTTACTTTGCTCTCCTCCATTTCTCTCAACTTTTATCCTGTACCGAGACTGAATCTGGGGCCTTGAGTAAGTAGGGCAAACAAGCATTCTACCCTCACTCCAGTCTTTGAGGGTTTTCTCTGCCAGCACCTGCACCTGGCTGTCTTGAGCTCCGTGGGGCAACGCCTGGGCCCTTCCTGAAGAACTCTGTCGGCCTCTCCCTGCAGGTGTTTGGACCGTTGAAGCTGTTTCCTGCCTCCTGCAACTGTGCTGCTCTTGGCTCTGAACTCTGCCTTGTATGGTCCTCTCCTGGTTTAGACACAAACTTCTGAGTGTATTCCTTTGCTGACACTGTGCCTACTTCTGGCTCGAGGCCATCGCTGGATCTGAAGGTGGAGGATGGTGGCCCTGTGCTTACCAGCATTCTTGGGGTGTCAGCAAGGTCCCACCTTTGGTCAGGCAGGGTCAGGAGCTTCACAGAGAGTGGACATCTTCCAAGGGAAGGGCCCTTGGCTTCTGAAGAGTCACGCTTCCTTCTCTCTTCCTCTTCCTCCCCTCCTCTCTCTTTTTCTCTTTCATTGAGGCAGGGTATTTCAATATAGCCTTGGATGGTTGGCCTTGAACTCACAGAGATCCACCTGCCTCTGCCTCCTGAGTGTTGGGATTAAAGTGTGCACCACGTCTGGCCTACACACGTGTGTTTCGAAAAAGGCTTTGAAAAATAACATGTGTTAGACTGTCTGAACTCCTTCCTCCATATTCCTCTTTGGGCCTTGCCTTGGGCTACCTGGAATGGTGCCAGTGGAAGGCTGCCTCAGGGTCAGGCAGGACATCTCCTGGCCATCACTGCAACCTGGTTGAGTTTTGGGTTGCACACATTGTGGAACCATCTAGGAATTTTAAGCAGGGAGAACTGATAAATCAGGCCCACTCCACAGGAACCATTCAGAGGCTCATTTAGACCTCCAGACCCTACTGTCCATTGGAAACAGGCAGTGACATCGTTGGACATGTATTCCATCTCCTTGTCATGGTACCTGGAAGATGGACAGGTGGACTTTGGCAAATGAATCTAGTTGACAGCTGTTGGGGAAAAGCATGTGCCCATGGAAACCAAGCCTGGTGACCCACGTGCTTGCTGTCATCGGAAGTAACTGAGAAGTTGACTATTGGGGTGATTTTATTTTGCTTCTCACTAAGTGACTAGATGGCAGAAAACTGGTTTAGAGAAGAAAGAAGCCACGGCAGAGGGCACGGAGTGGTGCTTTGGGGGAGTGTTAATTCAAAATGAAAACACACACAGAAACTTACAGTCGCTTCTCACGAACTGTGGCGTGGCATTTGTCCAGAGAAAGGAACATGGCTGATGCCCAAGGGAGGTAGTCCCTGGAATTCCCTGCCCAGCTGGGTTTGCAGTTGGTTTTGCTGCATGCGTTTTATCTTCTGCAGCCCCCAGCCACACGCAGCCGTCTGTGTTAGTGGTTTCCCGGAAGGAATGATGACTGGCAGGGGGTACACCGTGGGGACAATCATGGATGTCAGGAGACTCTTGAAGCTGCTGTGGTAGTGTAACTGGCTCTGACGATCATTTATAATTAACTTGGCTCCACAGAGATTTTTGGAGAGTAGGGTCTGAACCCCCTGGGAATGGGATGGGAGCTCCCCAAAGGCTGGCATTCATTTTGGGATGTGCTGTTCGGTGACAGGTAGAGTTGACTGAGTTGTCATAGTGATTCTTTTGTGTCAGAGGACTTGTAGGTCGAAGGAAGCCTCAGCACGCACAAAGAGGCCAAGACCAGCCAGATAACCCAAGCTAGTTTGGAGACAACTGCGTGATGGTGGGGCTATAGGAAGAGAAGGCAGAACGGAAAGCCGTCTGAAGCTGAAATGTCCCCACAGGCTCAGGTTTTGAAGATCTGTTCTTAGGTTGGCACTGGGGCCTGGCTGGTGGAAGTGGGTCAGGAGAGTACACCTTTGAGATTGTACCTGACCCCTGGTTATTGTCTTACTCTCTCTGTTCCTCAGTTCACCATGATGTGAACACACACTCCGGCTGCCTTGAACTGAGCTCTACCATTGTTTAACCTTGATGGGTTAAATAAACTCTCTAAAATCATGAGTCAAGACAAATCTTTCCTAAGTATTTTTAAAAATGTTTATATAGCTGGGCAGTGGTAGTACATGCCTTTAATCCCAGGACTCAGGAGGCAGAGGCAGGCGGGTCTCTGAGTTTGAGGTCAGCCTGGTCTACAGAGAGAGTTCCAAGACAGCCAGGGCTGTTAAACAGAGAAACCCTGTCTTGAAAACCAAAACCAAAACCACAAAAAGATTTCACACCACACACACACACACACTCACATATACTATATATAACTATCTAGGGCTTAGAGAGATGGCTCAGAGGTTAAGATCCCTGACTGTTCTTTCAAAGGTCCTGAGTTCAGTTCCCACCAACCACATGGTGGCTCACAACCATCTGTAATGAGATCTGGTGCCTTCTTCTAGCCTGCAGGTGTACATGCAGACAGAATGCTGTATACATAATAAAAAATAAAGAAAAAAAACTATCCTATCTATCTATCTATCTATCTATCTATCTATCTATCTATCTGAAAGATGTTTTTTCTGAGACAGGATTTCTCTGTGTAGCCCTGACTGTCTCGGAACTCACTTCGTAGACCAGGCTGGCCTTGAACTAAGAGACTTTCTTGCCTCTGCCTCCTGAGTGCTGGGATTAAAGGCGTGTGCCACCACTGCCAGGCTTATTTATACTTTCCATGGTTTATATTTTCATCTATCTGTGTGGGGATTATGTGCGTGTGAACGCAGGTGCCCAAAGAGGTGAGAGGTGACAAAGTCCCTTGGAGCTGGAGTAACAGGTGGTTGAGAGCCACCTGGCATGGGTGTTAGGAACGGAACTCTGGAAGAACAGTCGGTGCTCCTAACCACTGAGCTGTGTCTCCAGCCTGACTCCTCTTCTTCTATGTTGTTTTCTGTCAGGTATTGAGGTCGCAGTGGTGTGA